TGGAAAGAAAAAGAATAATAAGACTATTTCTCTAATTAATCATAATTTGGGAACAATTATACCTCCACCAGCATCATGGCCCCTCCCCCCTCACCTCCACCAGCATCAGAACACCTCTCCTCTCACCTCCAGATAGGGGATAATCCTGCACGAGAACTCTCCCAGCAGCCACTTCTTAGTGAGTGCATGAAACACCACAAGTGGCAGGCAGAAGAAGATGATGATGAAGTCCCATAGTGCGAGGTTGGCCAGCAGGGAGTTTGAGATGCTCCTCATGTAGTAGTTGTGACACACGATGCACATGAGCACCACGTTCCCAATGATCCCTGTGCTGAAGATGGCGGCAGCAGCCAACGTCATGGCGTACGCTCTGTATGCGTCCATAGAGGGTGGGTAGAATGGGTTCTTCAGTGGCTTGCGTGGGGTCCGGGGGTTCATGGGCTCTAATGTTGTATCATGGAAGTCCGGCAGGGAGTACTCCTCTTCGTAGTCGCTGGTGTTTAATATTATGGGATGTCCTATGTCCTGTCCCTGTGCCATGGCACCTGCAGGGGCCTCCCACACAGAGTCCCCCAGTGGGTCGCTCCGCCGGACCCTGCTGGACCTTTGATTTGGTCCGTGCCTCTGTTGGTACTTATTGGATCTGGTCATGCATTTTGCCCTGTGAGGCTCTTCTCCCAGTCCACAGCTGGCTCCTCTTGGCTCGGTAGCAGTGCGTACATTTCCTGACTCAGATCGGAAAGGCTCAGTTCTATTTTGTACGTCGCTTTTATGCACAGCCCGCCAGGATCTGCGTGTCTCCCTCAGCTCAGAGGATTCAGGATTCACAGAATCAGGCCATGAGAAAAGTCCACTGGCTCCACGCATCTTTCTGTTGTCGCGCCAGCTGAATGTGCGCCATCTCCGCCTGTGCGGATTCTTGTTGGCTACGTCCGGTTCATCAGGGCTGAAAGTGGTCCTTGTCTCCTGCGTGTGGAGTTGACTTACTATGACCTCGCAGCACACCAGCAGAGACAGAATTCGCTGAGGCAGCATGATGTCTACACCGTGATGGGACACAAAGTGGTCCACGAAGACCCGCACATGTCCAGCGTGTGGGACAGGCAGGACACAACAAATCCAACAAGCCTCCTCACTGAACTACACACCTTGACAAAGACTCACAATCACATACAAACGCACACCTCCCAGTAGCAACATGTGGTTTCACAGCGGCTGAAAGTGTCCGGAGTTTCGGCTGGACCGTCCACTCAGAAGAGCTCAGAGGAGAGCCGGAGTAGAACAACAAGGAGGAGGAGAAGGAGGAGGAGGAAAGTGGAGTGGGGGGAGACTCAGCAGCTTACAAAACACTTCCCCTATTTAGCTTTTGTAATGTCATCATCAACATATTTATTAATATATTGGTCACTTAAAAGTTGTTAAGTTTTAATGTTCTTCTTTTGGCTTTCTCTCTTCAGGGGTTGCCGCAGTGAGTCATCCTCCTCCATTTCACTCTGTCCTCTGTATCCCCTGTCCTCACTCCAACTAACTCCATGTCCTCTAACTGCATCCATATATCTTCTCTTTGTCTTTTTCCTGGCAGCTGCATTTCTAACATCCTTCTACCAAAATACCCACTGTCCCTCCTCTGGACATGTCCAAAACACTGTCCCTCCTCTACACATGTCCAAATCACTGTCAGTCCTCTGGACATATCCAAACCACTGTCCCTCCTCTCGACATGTCCAAACATCTCAGTTTGGCCTCTCTAACTTTATCTCATTTGTTCAACCTGTGCTGTACCTCTGACAATCTCATTCCTAATGTTATCCATCCTTGTAACTCCTAAGGATAACCTCAACATCTTCATTTCTGCCACTTCTGGTTCTTTCTCCTGTCTTTTTGTCTGTGTATGTGTCTCCAGACCATACAATTCAGTTTATTCAATTCAATTCAGATTATTTATATAGTGCCCAATCACAACAAAGTTGTCTCAGGGCACTTTACAGAAACATTCACATACATAAAAGCCAATTAGTAAAGTTCTCTATCTAAGGAGGACTAAAAACAAACTTCTGAATATTCTAAGAAGGATTTAATTTGTGAGACAGTCATTAAATTATTTTACTAAAACTAAAATAAATATACATTTTCCAACTGTGATGCTCAATATTTTGTTAGAAAAGCTGAGTGTCACGTGACATCTAGTGGTCAGCTTTGAGACTACATCAAGAAAGTTTGTTTGGACCATGAGGGAGATCTTCCAGATCCTCCTCAGCCATCCTGCACATCTCCTCACACCAGAACTGAACTTGACAATTAAATATCCTCTTTTAATCTGATGGCTGACTCCTCACAGCAATGAACTGCTCTGACTTTAAATTTAAATGGTTAATTTTGTCAACATTGAACTGATTCTCTAATATCCAACATTTTTCAGTCAGGTCATCTGGACAGTTTCTTTTTTTGTGCTGAAACATTTCGCCTTTGATCCGGAAGGCTTCATCAGTCAAGGAAACACACAACAAAACTGATTCTTCCCCCAACAGCTTACTCCAAAGTGGAACAAACCAGTTCTGCTTGTGATAAGATGGTCTCTTTGGTACTCCCCTCCTCCATTGCCAGCCCTTTTCCTTGTTGACAGTCTTGTCAAACTAGTTGAAAACAACAAAGTCCATGCTCAATAATCCAGGTAAAAAAGTGAGCATGCTGTTATTGCTAGTATCACTAGCACTATAGCATTATGTGGCTTTAAGAGACACAGCCTGCAAATTTGCATATTCAGAAAGTGATCAGGAGGAAAATAAACCAGAGGAGTCAACAAAGCAGTGGTAAGTCACAATTTTTTACCTTTCTCTGTATGCCTAAAGTGTGTGGAAAAAAGTGCCACAGCGTCAGTCTCTTACTCCTAGCTTAAGGTACTGTGGCCTTGCCTCCCTGTTGGGTTTACATTCAGGGGTCACAAGTTGCTTTCCCAGCATATTTCAGACATAAGTGCCCACAACACATTCAAAATGTACCTTATATAACATTTGCTATTGTGTTCTCCAACAGTAAAGTTTTTGGAAACCTACCAGCAGTTTCTGTAGGGTGGGTGCCCTAGCCCAGAACACTGGGAAAATGTGGTATCAAATGTGAGGTGGGTAAAGGTATTTCTATGTCACATGGCTTATGGGTGCAACGACATAGGGACCTGATAATGTTGGGTGAATTCAGAGGCAAGCTGGGTTTTGTAGTCAGTTTTTTACTTGCAAAAAAGCTTTAAATGGGAAATTGCGTCTTCAGCTGGGCATTCAAGCTCATGTCACTGGGAAAAACCATCACCACTGCCACCATATATCTGAAGCATGTGTACCATTTTCTGAGATACACAACTGAAACACCACCCCCTTTGTGCTGGCTGTCAAAAGCCCAGCAAACCAGTGTTGTCAGGGCAGTGATGAACAGTCTTTGCCATGTACAAAAAGAAGTGGTCCTTCATCTCACCATAAAATATTCCAAAGTTTCATGAGCAATTTCAGGCCAAACCCTAACAAAGTGCTGGGACTTGGCCTGCTACATAATCCCTCAGATGTTTGGTTAAACTTAATACTGGTGTAGCTCTTAATATGGGCAAATGTGTGTATTTATTGACACCAGTTATGTGCGGTCAGCTTTGTGACAGGTGAGGCACTGACTGTCTGGAATTGGATGCTCACATATATGAACCAAAAATAGAAGCTTATATTTCAATATCAATTGTTTTAAAATCGTTAAAAAAATGTTTGACACTTCATTGTCCAGAGATGTTATTCAACTCAATGATTCTTTCACATTTGTCTTATGGAGCTACTCACAGACTCATCAAACTACACTTAAACCATTGGAAAGCACGTACAATTGGGCCTTGAATGTTTTATACCAAAAGCCAGTCAGATTTCACACTAATATTTTAGCTAATTGTTGTATTCTCAAATTTTCCAATTTTATAAATTAATTTTTTTTAATTGATCTTCAAATGCTCAAATGGACTTGCACCTAGACCATTAAGCAATTGTATACATAAACTGCAGGGCTATAGAAAATATACCAGAGCAGCTTTAAATGGCTACTGTAAGGTTCTTTTTCCTAGAATCACTTTTGCTCAAAGTCTAAAAAAGTTAAATCTGGTCCTCTGGACAGTCAAAAAAACAAAACAAAGCAAATCAACAAAAAAATGTAGAAACTTTTCGTCTCTCATCCGAGAGACTTCCTCAGTCTGAGGAGCTGTATTCATCTCAGTCTCTTAAATAGCACCTTCTCAGAGTGGATCAACCAGTTTTGCTGCTGACAACCAAAATCAGCTGATCACATGCTCAAGAAGGACCATCAGCCTAACAATGGATCATTAGCACACTGATGGCTGTTTACTGTTCACAGAGGGCTGAGTGATACTAGCAATCACAGCATTGTAAGAGGGGGACAGTTGAACCCGGAGGCCTCCACCCCTGTTTAACGATGGACGATTTCTTTTCACAAAGATGGCCTCCTTTACTCCTCTCTCGAACCATCATTCCTCTCTGTCCAGGATGTGAACATCTTCATCCCTGAAAGAGTTTTTTTTGAATGTCCAGAGGACCAGATTTAACTTTTTTAGATTTTTCTACCTGGATTATTGAGCATGCATCAGGATATTTTGCTCAAAGTGTTCTGTTTGGGAGAGGATCCGTGATTTGGAACTCACTCCCTGGGAATTTAACGTCTGTAACCAGATTCAATGTTTAAAAAAGCAATAAACTGGCTGTGTCAAAAATGGCATGACATTCATGCTTAATGTATTTTATTGTTATATTTGAATCCATTTGTTTTATGTGTATGACTGTTAATGTGATTTTTAAAAAATATATTTTACCGTTTTATTCCCATTTCACTTACTTGTGTTATCTTAGATTTCCTGTTGATAAAAGCCCATCTAGGGACAAATGCTGCAAATTAGTTCATGCTATGAGCACCATGATACAGGCATAGAACTGCTGCTTTACTCAGTTTATCTATGTTACTGGGTGTCAGTCACTATCAAATAAACTTAATAAATAAATGTAGCCTTTTTTCCTCTCTAATACCTTCTGTTTTGACTGAAAATCTAGTTTAGAAAAATCGTGTAGGGTTAGGGTTAGGGTTAGGGTTAGTTCAGAGAGGGTTAAACCTCTGTCGCCATATCAACAGAGGCAGTGCACACTCCATCACTACCCTAGGACACCTAGGCAACCAAAAAACTTTCAAGTTCACATTTGTTTGGTCTTTTAAAGGAGGTTAAGGTTAGGTTTAGGGGTCCTGATTTTAGTTCATGCCAAAAGGTGTCGATGTGGCCAAGTTAGTTATCCAGAGGGCTTTTGCAGCTTTTCTCTGATTAACCGTCCAGTTAGGGTTTGACTGAAGGACAGTGGCCCTAATTGCCTTCCAATTATGGACCAGGAAATGTTGGACCAGCGGAGTGTCTGTGTCTCTTCGTGTCTGAATGCAAAATCTGTGTTGACAAAGTCTTGTTAACAAAGCCATCTCTGTTTCCCCTACAAACTGTAGTCCACACAATGTGCATGTGAGTAAGTAAATACAGTTTTTTGTCCTAATGTGACCTGTTTTCTCCTTCTCAAATACTTGCTTATTGACCCTATTTTGCACCCACCTGGTTTGTTTAAAATAATCTGCTGAAATTCTGTCTGGGGGGTCGTTAATCTGTTTTAATTTAGCATGTACCAAGTAATCTTTTAGGTTTTTGTTCCTTCTGAACGCTGCTATATTTTTATGCTCAGGCAAGATCTTGCTCTCTTTTTGAAATTCTGCAAAGTTCCATTTGATTTGTTTAATCAAAGGTTGAACAGATGTGGAATATGTTATTACCAAAGGTACCACAGGTTTCACCATGATGTCTTTTGTTTGTTTGAAAGTTTTCAAACACTTTCTCAGGAGTGACCTTGAGTACCCTCTGGTGGACAAAACTGAGAATAACAGTTTGGTGGCTTGATAAAAGTCTGAGTCCTGGGTACAGATTCTTTGAAATCTTAAGAGTTGTGATTTAACTAATCTAGCAAAAGTGTGTTTTGGATGGTA